AAAGCATTGAGTGGTGCACATCTCGTGGGGGAGAAAAACACATTTAGCATGAATGTTTCCAGGTTTGGAAGGTGGTTGTTAAACCAGAAGAATGTGTTGCTTGATCGGCACACAAAGCTAAAAAGGGAGATTGATGATGCAAGCAACAACTTGTAGATGTCAATAGACTGCTTTGAAGTACTCGCTGACGCATAGGATGTGTTGAGTGGTGAAGACCATGTGGAGTCAATATACTAGTTGGATTCATGTAGATTTGCAGAGCAATTGTGTATCTTGGAGAAAGGAAAAGATAAATAAACTGAAGGATCAAGTTTATGATTTAAAGAAAGAGCAATAAGTGCAAATCCAAAAAAATAAAAGTTGCACTTATTATTATGGGAGATGTCCATATCCATGTTATCTTGAACGAGGTTTAGAAAATGTGGAGAATGACTATAAAATAGTTATGAGGTAGTCTATATCGAGAGAAACACAAACTGATTTAATTAAGAGATAAAAACTCTTAAAAGTATTATTGGTCGTCTTCAGTTATTGATGTATTAGGCTAGAGAGAAAAGATTGTATAGATTAGATATCATTTAGTAGTATATGTTAAGGCGTAAACACTACACCGTATAAAACTGTATAAATAAATCTTATAAAATTGTTTAAAAGAAATTTTGAATAAATCATAAGTATTTACTTATACTTGCATTATTGATTTAATTTTTGCATTATTTAATTGTGGTTATATCTTGAACTTACAACATTAAATACTGTCCTATCAAATATTATTATTACGTTTAATGAAAGACTTTAGTTGACAAAATTTTAATGCAGATAGATTACGGAAAGGTTAAAAGTTTGGACGTTAAGTTCAAAGCTGCTTGGAAGGATTTAATCATGACGGAGAAAGGTGAGCGTGAGAGCATGGACCACGAACTCGTCTTCGGACCTACAATAAAAAAAAAAAAAAACAAGAATCAAAATGGATGACTGCATTGAATGTTCATAATCGTTACATGGAAGATGGACCACAGTATATTTCGTATGGGACTGTGGAGCCTCCAATCATCGTGCTTTAATTTGTTTATGCGGGCCATCTTATTTGGGATCGTAAATCATAGTTGAGCTGGTCTAGTCTTTAATTTTCTCATCTTCGTGGAACCAAAGGTTTATAAGAATTTCATAGGCTTTAATTATCTTGGCTTCTCATCATCGATTCATTCGGTAGTCTTCGTTGATTTGATTAATTGGGACCGCGTCATATATGACCACATAAATTTAGAAACAAATGCAATTCTAAGAAAATATCCATGTCACATATGTTATGACGTGTGTATATCACACCTATATTAAGACGTTCAACGTTTCCAAAATCATACTTACTCATCAATGTCCAATATCCTCTTAAGAGGTCAAGCTAGCGTTTATACAACTATGCATACTTAAAGTAGCAAAACTAAATGTTCTTCTTATGTACATTACTGTTTTGGGGGGGATAAAGTATGTACATCAATGTTAATATTAATATATTTATATATGGTTTTTGTTACTTTGTAGGACTAGAAGGAGCAGATAAAGGATGTTGCGGTAGGAAGAATTGAGTCAGTTGAATTGTGCAACAAACTTGCTCTTTTTACATGTCCAGATCTATCGACTCACGTGTTCTTCGACTCTTATTACCGAGTAAAAAAGGCATATCAAATTATCACTAAATTTATCGATAATTGGCCATATCAGTAATGGAATATGTATAGTCAAGTGATACTAGAAATAATTGAATATATACTTTAATATCTCTTTCTACAGTTTTTGATAAAGGATGTATTTCATAAAAGTGTTTTTATTTCACAATATAATTGTTTTTTTTTATAAGTATATATTTAGCTTAGCCGACTAAATAACTATATGGCGTATTGGCTGTAATGTAATCCTAGATTTGAGGTAACGTACCAGCTAGAAGAACATGGGAGAGCATTGGACTCTGCTTTTTTTTTGGAATCTTGCCCTAATACATGTTTTTGCTGTTTTCAATTGGTTGATAGAAAACAGAAACAAAACCCTACAGATTTTGCCCTAATAAAATATTGGCCACCACATGTTCGTATATATACAATTTTTTAATATATATATATATATAGATATATAAAGTTAATGGTGGAGACTGAGAATTTAACCAAGAGACAATCACTACCTAATATTTCCTAATTTGATAAAATGTCGACAAATTTATTATTATTTTACACCGATAGTGGATTTAATCAAGGTTACAGTTATTAATTACAACACTAATTCAAATTTCCAAAGGAGAATCACTTGTTGAATATGATAGATTAGTGACAGCACATAGGATTAAATTATAAAATAAACAAGTTGCAGCTGTACTGATATTTTCTCACGATATGAGTAACACCGAAAGAGAAAAAGATAACTTAAATACACGTTCTGAAATCTAATCGTTACATTTTGCACAACCTTATTCTTCCTTTTAGTTGTCGTACCAGGTGGCGAAACTATATAGTTTAAAATGCATGTCGACTGAACATATATATGTGTTTACAGTGAAAGCTTTTAGTAAAATAATTTATCATAAACCCTTTATCAAAAATAAAATAAAAATAATTTATCATTATGCACTTTCGTCATTATTTCTTATCTTCTATAGTTATTTCCCATAAACCAATTATTCAAGACAAGATATTCCCACTTTTTTTAAGATTTAGGATCATATAGTATCAGGAAAAAGTAATCAATAATGTAATTCATTCTAAAATAATGTGGTGAGCAGTTTATACTAAACAATAATGTAATGAGCACGTGGACAAAAAAAATGTAATAGGCCCAAGAATATTAGTAAGTGAGGCCTTATGATATGAACAGGCCCATTAAAGCTTTCAACGACATATGAACAATCCCACATCGTTCAGGCCAAGAGCAGAAACTGTGTTTATATGGCGATAGAGTTACGAAGATGATTGTCCCTTCGGGGACATCCGATAAAATTGGAACGATACAGAGAAGATTAGCATGGCCCCTGCGCAAGGATGACACGCACAAATCGAGAAATGGTCCAAATTTTTTTTTTCCCAAAAAGAACCTAAGTTGATTATCTCCTTCCTATGTTCTTCAGTGTTCTGTTTTTAGGGTTTACTGTGTTCTGTTCTTCTGGGTTTCGTTTTATTGTCAAACCCTAAATGCAGTTTTGGGATTCAGATTTGCGCGAGAGTCGATGCATTTTGCTAACCAGTAACCCGGTACAGAATGTACTAAACGAGATTACGGTTAGGGTAACCCAACTGAAGTGATCTTTCTCGGAAACCAATAGCTTCCTCAGAGGCACTGACAGGATATGTAATGCCGTAAAGTGTAACTATGTAAACCAATGATATGAAGGAAAGCTTACTAGAGTCAACGCTTTTTGTTAACTAGTAATCACGTACAGAATGTATTAAACGAGATCCCGGTTAGGGTAAACCAATTGAACCCATCTTTGACGAAACCCTCTAACTGTAACTGGCTAAGTGGCGGCACTGACAAGATAAAAAATGCCATAATGTGTAAACTATTATTATATGATGGAAATTTTGTTTTTAAATTGTCGATGACATGAAAGAAGAAGTTATACAGTCGTTGAGAGATGACTTGAAACTGATATGTGGCTCAACACACATCGCTTAGTATTTGTAAGTAAAACTTTTGTTGTTGTTTCTCCCCTGGAGACTGACTGTTTAATTAGTCTATCTTATCATGATCATAACGTAGCTATTCCTATATATGTGTTTCTCGATCGGAAAGATCGAACTTCAGTTTGGTAATGGAATGGCAACGTACATAGGATCCACTAGAATAGTTGTTAGACCTCTCTTGCAAGTATAAGCCATCCTTTCTTCTTTGTCCAACTTAATAAAACAGGTTAACAACGAGAGATCGTGTGATTACATGGAACTCTCTAATCCATCGTGTATCTTTTGCCAGCAAGGGATTGAATCCCGAAATCATCTCTTCTTTTAGTGTATTTACTCAGCAGCTGTATGGATCAAGTTGACAAGGGGACTTCTTGGAACACAGTTCACTATGGTCTGGGATATTAACATCATTCACTTTCTTGTGAGTAACACGTTGGAATGTAGGGTCAGATTTCTGCTGTGGTATGTGTTCCAAACATCTCTGCACACACTCTGACGAGAAAGGAAAGAGAGACGTCACGGTTTTGTTCCTGTAACCAGTGTTGTATCTTTAGTCGGTTTATTGATTGCAAAGTCAAAAACAAGTGCATGTCCATCTTAGAGATGGGAAATCAAAGGAATAGACCCTACATTCAAATGTTGCAAATACATTCAAATGTTGCAAATACTAGGGGCACCAATGTAGTTCATGCACTTCTCTTACCAGATATGCAAATACATTCAAATGTTTCATAAATATGCAATTACTGACTAAAATTTGTATATTCACCCAAATGAACATTTTTGAAAAAATAATCTCATTTTAATATTATAGATTTTAAATGAACTAGTTAAAAAGATATACATCTAAAACTTACAAGATTATTTTAGTAATGATAAATTAACAAGAATATAGAATTCAAAAAATATTATTGACTCTCAAAAGAATAAGTTAATTACCATAAATATGATTCTCATAAAGATGACTCAACATGATTCATAAACTATAATAATAATAAAAGTTCTAATATGTTGATGTATATCTTTAATTTGACCAGTAGATTTTGATTTTTTATAGATCTCTCAATATATATATGCTTATATAGAGCTGACTAAACTTAATTCCTAAACTAATATGAAATATTACATTATATAGAATGACAAAATTTCTATTCTAATAGAGTAGATATCAATCTTTAATTTGACCGCTGGATTTAGACCAATCTTCTAATCTCCCAATAAATAGTGTTGACTTACCTATCATCCTTTGTCTCTCTCTCTCCATTTCTCAAATATCTTTGTGAGTCTCTTGTCCCTCACCCTCATCGCATAGCATCGCCGCTAATTTTGATAATGTCGTTGAATCGACTTATCTTCCCTTACTTCCTCCTCGTCTTTCTCATCCTCTCTGGCTTCGCATCCTCTCAAACATTACCAAAAGAAGAAGGTATCATGCATAGCATATATATAATCAGTTTATAGGGTGGTTACGTATATGGTGTATGGTTTGGTAGTTAATTATCTGTGTATTTGAATTTTTCGCAGTGGATGCTTTAAGAGCCGTAGCCACTGCGTTGAAGAAGAGTAACTGGAATTTCAGCGTGGATCCATGCGACGTCACTTCTTCTGATGGTAGTTGGAGAAATCTTACCGTCACCAAGTTATTCCTAGACGTCGTTACTTGTAACTGCTCCTCCACCGTTTGCCACGTCACCAGCATGTTCGTTCCTCTCTTCGTCCTCCCTATATATTTTAATGTTTTAAATTTTTTTTTATATCTTTTTATAAAATTTTCATTTCCATCATTAATATTAATTACTAGCCGTGGAGAAATTAAAATATACTTGATCTCGCGTTCTCATCGCACCTATTTGGCTATTACTACCATCAAAGTCATTAATTAAGAATTTAAAAGATATTATTTAATTAAGAATATACTGCTTTTCTTTTTTCCTCTCTCCTTTCATATAAAACATTTATTTATCCTTCTTTATTAAATAACATAATATTAAATTATTCTTATTAACCATGAAATATCAGTATATAATTTTTATTTATTTTTTAAGTTAGAATTTCATTTTCCAAAGCGGCAAAGCCCTATTTTAGGCTACTCGTTTTGTTCAGTCCGCGAGTCTAATTCTAAAACTAATTACTTTCACACATGTTGCTTTGACGCAATGCTATTGGGCTGTAAACAAATGGGCCTATATTTTGCAACTCTTTTTTAAAAGCTAATACACTCTTCTTTTTTCCCTCTTAAAATCTTGTTGAAACAGAGTTCTCAAAGCACAAGACCTCCAAGGATATCTTCCTAAAGAGTTCGCACAACTTCCTTTTCTGCAAGAGATGTAAGTAGATGAATAAAAAAATATTTACCTTAAACGTTTTCATTATTACAATACCTGCTACCATGACCAGTATCTTTCATTAACTAACTTAACTGCCACATTCTTGTTTCTCTTGCAGTGATCTGTCTAGAAACTATCTAAACGGTTCAATTCCTCCCGAATGGGGAACCTTGCCACTTGTAAACCTGTATGTGTCTCTTTTCATCTAGTCTATATATATGTGTGTATGTGTGTGTGTATTATATACTGATTAAGTATTTTTGTTGGATGATGAAATACAGATCACTGCTTGCAAACCGGATAAGTGGTTCAATCCCAAAAGAGATTGGAAACATTACAACCCTTAAGGAACTGTGAGTACACTTATTTGATCTTTATGTGTTGAACAATGCCTCAAACAATTCGTACACGAAGTAATATTATATTCATTGGCTTTTTTTAGTATCTTGGAATCCAATCAGATCTCAGGGAAAGTACCTCCAGAGCTTGGGAATCTACAGAACCTTGAAAGAATGTAAGAATCCATGTCCATGTTCTCTCAAAAAAGGTCACTTCGTTTAGAAGTTTTTGATATTTAAAAATGTTGCGACTCTGTTTTCTCCTTGTAGCCATCTTAGCTCGAACTACTTGACTGGAGACATCCCAAGTACATTTTCAAAACTTACTAAATTGACTACTTTGTAAGTACTCTGGTTTTTTTTGGGATCTCAGACAATGTGTTTTGCTGAAGATTCTGACTTGTTATATATTTGTTCTCTTGCTTTATAGTCGTATAAGTGACAACCAGTTTACCGGAACTATACCAGATTTCATTCAGAACTGGACAAAACTTAATAAACTGTAAGCAAGAAATCCTTTCACCGTAATCAGTTTCTTTGGTTATCGGTTTTGGTTGTATTGATTCATGTTGTTATAGGGCTATTCAAGCAAGTGGTTTAGTTGGACCGATTCCTAGTGCCATTGGTTCTCTTGTAAAGTTAATAGACTTGTAAGTACACCAACTTTGCGTGTGTGATTCGTTTTTACTTTTTACTGTCAATGATATTTACTGTTTCCTTTTTTTTCGTATTTGAAACTTTTGTAGGATAATCAGTGACTTGTACGGACCTAGTTCTCCATTTCCACCGGTACAAAACATGACATCGTTGAGGACATTGTGAGTAGCCTTATACTAATTAAACAAAATTCACTAATGGTCGTTGACCTTATAATCCACTTCTACTCTATGTTTTATGCAGGGTTCTTAGGAACTCCAATCTTACAGGAGAATTACCTTCTTATCTTGGATCCATCACAACGTTAAAGACCTTGTTAGTAAACTCTTTTCTTCTTCTGCAAGCATAAAATACGAAAAAATAATTACTCAAGCTAATCTTGTGAGACTCATTGTGCAGAGATCTTAGCTTTAACAAACTAAGTGGACCAATCCCAGCAACATATGGTGCTCTTTCGATTGTTGATAACGTGTATGATGCTCTTATTTCCCCTTCTGTTTTCATGATTTGTTGAATGCTTTCTGAAATTTACATTTTTTTTTTCTGATCTTGAAGATATTATACAGGTAACATGTTAAGTGGGGAAGTACCAAGTTGGATGGTAGACATAACAGACAAGATGTGAGTTTTTCTTCTACTATATATATCATATGTGTATACAACAATGTTCTTTTTACTGAAAATCTTGTTTGGATATTTATATTTCAGTGATCTTACTTACAATAACTTCTCCATAAATCCAAGAACCTCAGATTGTCAGAAGAAAAATGCGTATGAAGAACAATAAAACCTCAAGATCATCGTACCTTTAAATTCACTAAAAATCTTACAGGTTCTTGGTTCTTTTTATATACAGAAACATGTTTTCAAGCACAACCCCTTTAGTGGCGAATAACTAGTAAGCTCTTTTCTTACTTCTCAAAACATAGTGGCAAATAACTAGTAAGCTCTTTTTTTACTAAAATATTAATATACAATATGCTTGTTATGCTTTGCTACAGCTCAAACGTTTCGTGTCTTAGTAACTACAAATGTCCTAAGAGTAAGTCTTTGAAGCTATATAATCACATAAACCATATATGCTGCATCGCATCTGATTTATCTTTTGTTTATGTTGTCAGCTTTCTATGGCCTTCATATAAACTGTGGTGGTACTGAACTAACAGTAAACGGGACTAAGTTCGATGCTGATATATGGGATAGAGGAATCTTCTATGATAGTAGAAATGGTTGGGTTTCTAGCAACACAGGGAACTTTTTGGATGATGAACGGTCGGCTCCCACAGGAGCACTCTTATGGACAAATACATCAGAGCTTAAGATAGCAGAGCCCTTGCTTTATACACATGCTCGTCTCTCAGCCATTTCCCTAACTTACTATGCTCTTTGTCTTGGAAAAGGAAACTATACGGTTAATCTTCATTTCGCGGAAATTATGTTCAGTGACAATGAAACATATAGCAGCTTGGGGAGAAGGTTCTTTGACATATACATTCAGGTAAACTGTTATGATATTACAATTACGAGAAAGATTATATAGACGACTCTATAATGTTTGAAAATATTGTAATGCTTAGATATTGGTGTGTGTGGTAATGTGTAGGGTAAGCTTGAGGTTAAGGATTTTGATATTGTGAATGAGGCAAAAGGTGCTGGAAGAGCTGTGATTAAGAGTTTTCCGGTTATGATTACAAATGGGAAGCTGGAAATAAGATTGTATTGGGCTGGGAAAGGAACTCAAGCTATTCCCACAAGAGGTGTATATGGCTCTCTCATATCAGCTGTATCGGTAGATCCAAGTAGGCTTTGCTAATCTCTACTTGAGTGTTGTTTTTGTTGTTGTTTCTTGTTTCTTGATTTTATCTCCCATGATCTTGCTATAGATTTCATTCCACCAGACGAACCTGGAACTGGAAGCTATACTTGCAAAGTGGTTGGTGCTGTAGTCGCTTCGATGGTGTTTCTTGTGCTTTTAATCGGTGTTATTTTATGGTGGAGGGGTTGCTTCAGACCCAGGAGTCAGATGGAAAAAGGTACTTATAGACTTGACCTTTAACAACAATTGATTTTGAGTTAGAAGACTATGTATCTTCCTTTGAAAAAGAAAAAAAAAGACTGTATCTTCCTTAACTTAACGATGTTGCTTCACCTTCAGATTTCAAGAACTTGGATTTCCAGATTAGTTCCTTTTCTTTGAAGCAAATCAAAGTTGCTACAGACAATTTTGACCCAGCAAACAAGATAGGAGAAGGTGGCTTTGGTCCTGTACACAAGGTTAGCATCAGAATGTTATTGACATTGTTATGGGAAAAAGAAAAGATGAACTAAAGTTTTGTCCATTGTATGAATATACAGGGAAAGTTAACTGATGGAACCGTAATAGCGGTGAAGCAGCTATCAGCTAAATCAAACCAAGGGAACAGAGAGTTCTTGAATGAGATTGGTATGATCTCTGCTCTACAACATCCACATCTGGTGAAACTATATGGATGTTGCGTTGAAGGTGGACAGCTCTTGCTAATCTACGAGTACTTAGTAAACAACAGCCTGGCAAGAGCACTTTTTGGTTAGTCCATCCTCTTTACAGACATCTCTAGCTTTAAAATAGTTTTATATAATACAAATTTTTTTGGCTTTTAACATTTTATTATTTTGGTTTTATAAAATTTAAAGGTCCTCGAGAGAGTCAAATATGGCTAGATTGGCCAATTAGGCAGAAGATTTGCGTTGGAATAGCAAAAGGGTTAGCTTTTCTTCACGAGGAATCAAGACTCAAGATCGTACACAGAGACATCAAAGCCACTAATGTCTTGCTAGACAAGGAACTAAACCCGAAGATTTCTGATTTCGGTCTTGCTAAGCTTTATGATGACGAAAACACACACATGAGCACAAGAGTCGCAGGAACATAGTGAGTCACTCAACCAATTAATCACAAAGAAGAAGTTTTAGATTTCTTGTAACTAAAGCAATCTATCTTTGTTGTGCAGTGGATACATGGCTCCAGAGTATGCCATGAGAGGTCATTTGACAGATAAAGTAGATGTCTACAGCTTCGGTGTCGTGGCTCTAGAGATAGTCCACGGAGGAAGCAACACGACTTCACGATCCAAAGTCTCGCCCTTCTACCTTCTTGACTGGGTAAGTTATCTTTTTCACCTCTAAAACCATAAACCTAGAGGGCCGGCCCTGAGATTTATAGGGCTCGAAACAATTTAGTAAACATATATTTTTCTTAATCATTTGGGGTCAAAAAAAAATATATACATATTAATCACTAATACTTTAGGGATTATAGACTAATGTTTCATCTTGTTAAGGCCAGAACCTTAAACACATGTCTGAACAAGAAGTCATGAAACTGAATTTTGTTTTCTTACACAGGTGCACTTTCTATGGGAGCAGAACAAGCTGATGGAAGTAGTAGACCCGAGGCTTGGAACAGATTACAACAGAGAAGAGGCGATGAAGATGATCAACATCGGGATCCTCTGCACCCGTCAAGTTCCATCGGACAGACCGTCTATGTCAACGGTGGTGAGCATGCTCGAAGGACACTCCGCGGTGGATGTTGAGAAGCTTCTTGAAGCTTCGTTCAGAAAGGACGAAGAGAGCTTGAGATCGATGAAGAAGCATTACGCGTTGATGGAGATGACGAATGTGACGGATCAGACTAAAACCTTCGATGGACCATTCACGTTGTCTTCTTCGTCCACGGCCAACGCTGGTGATCTTTACCCTGTTAAGCTTGATTCTGCTTATTGGAACTCTAGAAATTGATTATTGATAATGTAATTGGAAAAGACAACAAAATTTAAATTATGGAGCAAGTAATTATTACGACGACTCTCTTTGTTTTTGGTTTTGGTTAAAGTTTTTTTTAAACGTCTGAATTATGATTATTTTATTTAAGACAATTGGAAGACTACGTTTCTTGAAACAGAATATGAGATATAATTAAGAGATTAAACAGGTCCAAATACAATTTAGATGAAGTAATGCGAGTGAAGACAAAATATTGTTGTTCTGTTAACATCTCTTCTTGTTTACATTTGAAGTATTATTTGGCTTTTAGTTTTCGGAATAGAAGGTTTATATAATTTTATACAAAATTACGACTTATTCTTAAATGCACATTTAATTCCCCAAGTATTTGAAATCGACAGTTTTAATACTCAAGTATTGCTCGCGCAGAATTATTCCCCAACTAATAGTTGACTGCGCGAAATTAGGAACGAAATAGTCAACCGTTAACTAATTAACGGAAAGATAACGGTTTCCGTCAACCTTTTAACGGTTGACTATTTCGTTCCTAATTTCACACAGTCAATTATTAGTTGGGGAATAATTCTGCGCAAGAAATATTTGAGTATTTAATCTACCGATTGAAAATAATTGAGGAATTTAAAACATCAATATTTAATCTACCGATTGTAAATTAATTATACAATAAAACTGAAAAAAATATCAGAAAAATCATCATTTTTTTATAAAAACACAATCAAACCAAAGTTAACTAAAGTAAATAGATTTTTTTTTAAAGCGTTAATAAAGGTAATCGTTAGTGTTAGGATTTAAGTATATTGTATAAAGTTAATAGAGACTTTAGTTTTCAAATAATAATAAAAGCACATTGTTTTCTCGGTTCGGTTTAGCTCGGTTCAGTTTGGTTTGGAGCGGTTTTGGTTCAGTTGGTTCGGTTTCATTTGGTTCGATATTTTTTGCCATCCATATTCTAAAGTAGAAATCTAATTTACAACATATGATTCCGTAAATGATATGAAATCATCCATATGTGATTTTATAAACATGAAGTACATCAACAATAAACTGTCACTATAACTATTTTTATTATTGTACATGTTATTGTAAAAGCTCAAAAATCTCTTTCAAAAAGTAAAAATCTCGTATATTGATTGTATCTGACTTGAAAATCTTTTAAATTATATTTTTTTTTTTAAAAAATATTGATGTTTTAAATTCCTCAAGTATTTTCAATCGGCAGATTAAATACTCAAGTATTTCTTGCGCATAATTATTCCCAAACTAATAGTTGACTGTGTGAAATTAGGAACGAAATAGTCAACCGTAAAAAGGTTAACGAAAACCTTTATCTTTCCGTTAACCAGTTAACGTTTGACTATTTCGTTCCTAATTTCGCGCAGTCAACTATTCGTTGGGGAATTATTCTGCGCGAGCAATACTTGAGTATTAAAACAGCTGATTTCAAATACTTGGGGAATTAAATGCTCATTTTCCCCTTATTCTTGGCTTTTAGTTTTCGGAATAGAAGGTTCACCATTCAATAGAATTGCATCATTTTATATTTGATATCTTTTAAAAAAAAGAAACAAAATCTTATTAAGTTAAATTGTGTGTTTTAAATATAAAAATACAAAAAATAATAAATAATAATAATTAAGAAAAACGAAAATAATTATTTAAAAAAAATATTTTAACATTAAACTCTAAAGTCTAACCTTAGGTAAATCACAAACCTTTGGATAAATCTATAAAAATTTAGTGTTTATGATTTACCCAAGGGTTTAGGGTTTAGGATTAGAGTTTAGGGTTTAGTGTTTATGATTTACCCAAGGGTTTAGGTTTTAGGATTAGAGTTTAGGGTTTAGTATTTATGATTTACCCAAGGGTTTAGGGTTTAGTGTTTATGATTTACCCAAAGGTTTAGGGTTTAGGATTAGAGTTTAGGGTTTAGTGTTTATGATTTACCCAAGGGTTTAGGGTTTAGGATTAGAGTTTAGGGTTTAATGTTTTGATTTACCCAAGGGTTTAGGGTTTAGGATTAGAGTTTAGGGTTTAGTGTTTTAGTGAAAAGAATTGTTTTTAAAGATTTTTTTTATAAAATTTACCAAAGATTTATGATTTACCAAAGGGTTTAGGGTTTAGGATTAGAGTTTAGGGTTTAGTGTTAAAATATTTTTTTTTAAATTATATTTGTTTTTTAATTATTATTATTATTTTTTTATTTTTGTATTTTTTATTTTTAAAAACATAATATAACTTAATAAGATTTTGTTTCCATTTTTAAAAGATATCAAATATGAAATGATGCAATCCTATTGGATGGTTAACCCCCTAGGGTGAACCAAGAATAACTCCAAAATTACATTTAAATATCAGTCGGCTTGTTGAGACACTAGACCTTAATTTGCCATCTCTGATGTCTAGAGTCATGTGCATGTTGTTGTGTGTCTTCTTAGTTCATTTTCTTATTGTAAAAATGGGTTTGTGATATATATTTAAGATTTATGAGTGTGGGTTACACATGATTTATTATTTTAAACATTTAAAATTTCTTTAAAATATTTTAATTTTTAATATTTGTGAAAAGTACGATTACATTTTCAATTTTATACCACCAACTCTTTCAAGCATACTTTTACACTCCATCAATCATATTCTGCGTAACCACTAAAACAGAGTTTAAGTGCCTAATATTTGATGTCTAATATTTTGATATCATTTATCATATTAACAACACAAGTATTCGGCATTATTGTATCGGTGACTATCCTAAATATGATTTCAATACGTTTCAAGATTCATTTTAAGAGAACTAATTGGCTTAATTGCTAACAATAACGATTAATTTGGATAAGTAAGAGAATATATTGTTGTTCTTTCAACATCTGTTTGTATATTTGTTTCTATTGACAGATGTTTGACTTGTATTTGTTTAATATGATTCATCTATATTGTCGTTTAGGAAATTACTCTACAAGACATTACAAATTAAACTTAATGGAAGGATTAAATATCAATTAATATGTCCACAAGTCTTTCACGGGGTAGCACCGGCAAATGTAAATCCTTTTAAACGAAACACAAAAAGAAACGTCTTCACAAATTATTTATGGTGCGAACAAATCGTCTGATTCAGGGAAAGAAAATCGAAGCATGAACTCGACGTAAATTATAGGAATAAATATACACTTTTTTCCTAATATTGCACTTAAACTTTTTGAATATGTAAATATGTTACTATATTTTACTATCAAAAACATAAAAATAATTAGTAGTAAATGACGTCATTAAATATATACAAAGAAATGCTGAGATTTGATTTCAAAGTTTCCTACCAAAGCAAATTTGGCATTATAGTTCATATATTTACTCACAAAAATAGCCAACAAAAATAAATTCTCTTAATATGACAAAATTACATACATAATATATATATATATATATATATATATAGATGCGTGGGTGTATAAAACCCCATCAGCGTATTTGAATCTCTCTCTCTATCTCTTCTGTGCAGAGATGGGTTTAAAGGATAACGCCATTTCATATGGCTCTGCATTAGTGTTATCGCTTCTTCTTCTTCTTCCTCTGCTTCGTGAAGCAGAGGGATGTGATATGTTCACGGGACGGTGGGTGAAGGACGCTTCCTACCCACTCTACGATCCCTCCACGTGTCCTTTCATACGTCGCGAATTCGCTTGCAAGAGAAATGGACGGCCGGATCTCGATTACCCTGCCTTCAGATGGCAACCTCAGGACTGCAAATTAGCAAGGTATCATCAGTTTACTAATCTAGACGATTACTTTTTTTCTGGGAACTATTTATTTTGTTTTGTTGTTTCAAGATATACTTAATCTAGGTATCATTATCTATACTATTATTTGCGAAGTGATTTTTCGCAACGGAGCTCTCACGTTAAAAGTTAGAGCGGTTAATATCTATTTTACCCTTAATGAAATTTTTATATATAATTATTTTATAACTAAACCGAAATTTAAAAAATAAAATTAGATAAGTATGTTATTATCTTAGATAATAAAGAATAATTAATATAATAAATTTATCTGAAAAATCAAAAATAAGATAATTCTTATATGTTATTATTATCTGAATATAATATTGTAACAACATGATAATGCTTATATATCTTAATTTATATATATATATATATATATATATGATTTTGGCTTTTGAAAGTAATATCATTTTATTATAAAATTTAAAAATTAAAATTTAAAAATCAAATTTAATTAAATATTAATCAAACAAAAACATTTGTATAAAGATACTTTTAATTATATAATTAAATATTAGGTATTAAAAATGGGAACAGTTCAAGTTAATGTACCTTTAATGAAATTTATATATTTATTATATTTGTTAATTTATTATAAATTAATAGGATAGTTATCCACATTCATGCATATTTAAAACATAAGATATCTTATAGAATATTATAGAGTTATCTGGAAATAATTTTTTTTTATTATGAAAAATATAAATGTATGTTATAAAACAATTTAAAATTAAATATTAAGAAAAAATATAAATATATTTTCAAAAATATTTTGTTATGTGGATGTTTCTCAACACTATAATAAGCATATAGATTTTGATAAAAATTCATATAAAAGTATTTTAATGTTTGATTTAGGTTTTTTAAAATTATAAAAAATAATAATTTATAATATTATTTTAGAATTAATAAAACAAAAAATAATAAATATTCGTAAGAAAATTATGCCCGCATATGCGGGCACAACACCTAGTGAAATATTATAACACGCACAGCCAGCAAATTTCTTATTCTTGCTTTTTAATTCCAGCTTTTTCTTTTAATCTATTAAACAGTTTCTATTTGTTGAAATTATATTATTACATTAATAAATGAAGGAAAAAAAGATAAAAGAGTATTTACATTTTGTCGGTTCAAAAATGATATACAAAAGTGTAAAGAAATCTGATTTGATTTATAAGGAAACTGGAAAACATTTACAGATTGTATATACCTTTTTGCAAAGCACTTTTGAGTGAGCAACCAATAGTAAAAGAGAATGCTATAAATAATATATATGTTTCGCCATAATGAAAATGCTGTGTTTGGGAATCTCTAAAATGCTCTTTTGTCACAATATGCCAACTGGTGGGTTTGTCGTGTGTAACACGCGCCACCAGTGAGCTTACGACACCCACCAAACTCTCAAGCGTTACAAGACATAGATTCATTCCCCCACACATGTGGGGACACCAACTCAAAGTCTCTTGACGATTTTGCCCTTATGTTTTTTCTAACGTTGGTATCTCATTTACACTGCCTTGAGACGCCACCACCGTTAATTTTCATTGTTTTGTTGTGTAGGTTCAATGGAGTGGACTTTCTAGAGAAAAACAAAGGGAAGAAGATAATGTTTGTTGGTGATTCTCTTAGTTTAAATCAATGGCAATCTTTGACTTGTATGCTTCACTCTTCTGTTCCCAGTTCTCCCTATAACCAAACCACACAAGGCACTATCTCAACCTTCACATTCCAGGTAATTAACAGCCAATTAGCTCTACACTTTTTCGTTGATTATTCAAAAAAAAAATATATGTTGATTAGAAAACCGGGATGACTTAGAAACAAGCTAAACCGGAAATGGTGGATGTTTTCAGGAGTATGGAGTGGAGTTGAAGCTGGATAGGAATGTATATTTGGTAGACATAGTGAGGGAGAAGATTGGGAGAGTGTTGAAGCTTGATTCTATCAATGACGGACATAATTGGTCGGACATGGATACATTGATTTTCAATACTTGGCACTGGTGGAGCCGTAGAGGTCCTTCACAACCGTACGTTAGAGTGTTCTTCAAGCAACTAACTCTTCAATTTGCTTATTCTTGGCTAAACTAATCACTACAATTTCGGCAGATGGGATTATATTCAAATAGGAGCTAACGTTACAAAGGACATGGACCGTGTGGCAGCATTTCAAATCGCACTTGGGACTTGGGGAAAATGGATCGATACAGTCGTAGATACTCAGAAAACTAAAGTCTTTTTTCAAGGAATTTCACCATCTCATTACAAGTAAGTTGTTATACATATATTACAAATAGATAATAAATATAAAAACTAATGGTTTTAAAACGGTGATATGTTTGTTAAATAGAGGAGCTCTATGGGGTGAACCAACGGCAAAGAGTTGCGCAGGACAAACAGAACCACTTTTAGGGACAAGTTATCCAGGAGGATTGCCACCTGAAGTTGGAGTTTTGAAGAGAGCACTTGGGAAAATATCTAAACCAGTGACGTTGTTAGACATCACAATGCTTTCATTGCTCCGCAAAGATGGCCACCCTTCGAGTTATGGTCTAGGTGGCCAAACCGCCAATGATTGCAGCCACTGGTGTCTCGCTGGGGTGCCAGATACTTGGAATGAGATTCTTTACAACTATATGATTTATTGAGAACATTTAAAACAGAGAATTTTTTTTAACATATTTGTTATTTTGTCGGATTCTACCCTTGAATCTGAATAAAAAGAGGAATTGTTCTTATTGACTGCAAGAAATATTCAATATAGGAATATAATCTATTTCAATCTCAACAATTTTTATTGTGTCTTTTAATACTTCAGTTTTGATTTCAACATTAACTAAAATTTATTTCAAATAAATTATCAAATTCACAATAGCACTATTATGTCAGATAGTTTTTTCACTGCAAGAAAAGAGTTGTCTAGCATCAGTTATTTTATTTTTTTGCATTACTTATAACTGATGTAAAAGAATTGTGCATCATTTATATAAATGACTCTGAAAGTGGTGATGCAAATAATTTGTATCATTTTATGAAAAACTGATGTAAGAATTCTAAATATTTTCATCAGTTAGTATAAATGATGTCAATATAAATCAGTTATATGAAATGATATTAACAACTACATCAGTTTTCTTAAATGATTTTATTATTAACATCGATTAAAATAATTGATTTTAACTATTTATATCATTTCTTAATAATTGATATTAAATTAATATTATATTTTAAAATTATTTGAATAATTATATCAATATAATTATTGGGTTTTTTTGTCAACAATATAATTATTGGTTTAAAATATTATTTTTTGCCGTATATATTCTTTTCTAAACAACAATACAAGAGATAAAAAAATATCAATAAATCAATTAATACAATATTTTTCATTAACAATGTTTTACATTTCCAATGAAAATAGTCTAGAAGTAAAAATAATATAGAGAGAAGTCTAACAGAAACAAAGATGAATCCAAAGAAAATTGCAAAACATAATTAAAGAAATTTGCCATGAAAGCTTCTTCAATCAGGATTCTGCTGAACAATCTCTATTCGTAGCAAAGTTAATTCCCTTAGACTTGTACTCTTCACCCACATATCCAATCAACATTGTCTCCTCATATACCTCTTGACGTTCCTGATCCTAGCAAAGAAGGATCATTAAACCATAAACAAAAGTTCTCAAAACGTTTATTTTTCCAAAAGTTTGAGGACGATGAGAAAAAAAAGGAAAAGGAAATAATACCTCTCATAAATTTCGAATCCTTGATGATAAAAAAAATAAATCATCATCTTCATGACTTTTATAAATGCTTTATTCTTGTTGATCTTTTGGTTTTAGTCAAATAATTCAACCCAGAACGATATATAAACTGTTAAGAGAAGTTAAAGAAATTGAAAGCGTGAGAGGAAGATGAAGATCTTAACCAAAAAAAAAGAGAATATGTCTTAGTTTATTAAAAACCACCGAAATATTCCCTACGAGAGTGATCTCTTTTCTTTTGTAGTTTATTTTATTTTAAAAATCTATTGGTTCAAGACTTCAAGTAGTTGGCTTGTGATTGATAGTGGTTCCTCTATTTTTGGGATTGTAACGTATCACCTTATAACTTATAACATAACGATATATATATATTTTAACTGTTTAACTGATGTAGTGTAAAATTCATTTTTTGTAGTCGGTGATTAAAAAAAATGTTAGTTGTTTTTAACTATAATTAATTTTTAGATTTTGAAACAAAATAAGAGTAAATATCCCAAATATAAGGTAATCAACCGAACAAAAAATACATTAGTTTTAACTAAAATTAAGTTAGTATCATTTCATTAGTGATGTCAAATGATTTCCTCTTTTATTTACGTAATCTTAACTTGTATCATTTCTTTAAGTAATGTTAATAAAAATTAGAAAATGTATCAATTATATAACTGATGTAAACTCATATTAATATCAATTGTTTAAAAGTGATGTAAGTTAGTATATATTTATATCAATTTCGTTGAAGCGATGCTAATAATTTAATAACAACATCAATTACTATAACTGATGTTAAACACACATTATTTATACCATTTACAAATAAGTGATTTAAACTAAAATCATTTATTTTTCTGATACTATTTATGTGATGTAATATGATCTTTTTTTTGTAGTGTTTTGATATGATATAAAAATTGTTTGGCTGAAAACGATATGATATAAAATTTGTTCTGTTAGGTTGGAATCTGCCATTACCCTAGAGGTGAAATAAAAAAAAAGAGAGAGGGTAGTGTAGTTGAGAAAGGGGATGGTGTGTGGCCCAAGTAAATAGGATGATGTGAATTTATGTAAAATCAATAATCCAGAATATTACAGCAGCTAAGCTCATATAACAACAAGAAACAACCCAACAATCATTCATTACAAGTTTACAACAGAAAAATTCTTTAGCTTTTTTTTTTCTCTGAAACTACCAAAACATAAGGAATCTCCCCCCACCAAGGCAAAGGTTCAAAGGGTTTCTCATGAGGATGTGCTTTGATTTTGCTAGAAGCGAAATGGAGTTTCAGGTCCATACTTGCTGTTCCTCATGTTGAAATGATCAAACTTCGAACTATTACTGTACTCTACTGGCTTCACCGTATCTGAAGCTGTTGTCTTTGGTTCCGCCTCTGTTGTTTTATCTCTATGGCGACGCCTTGAACGTTCTTTATGGACCTTTGGTGGTTGCACAACCTCTCCCGAGGCGTAAAACTGGGCATACTCCTGCCGTTTTGATGATGATCGATGGTGCTTGGACGATGACAAAGTCGGATCCTTTGTTGCACTACTTGATCTCGTCTTCGATGTCTTATGTTCCGGGTAACTATCACTCGGTTTAGGCAAGTGGGCGTGTCGGGATTCAGAGATTGGTGCTGGAGCTGTATGCCTTTGGACTAAAGGTGGTTCTTGCTCGTCTTCAGGCATTTTGAGTCTATCAAGTGGCCTTAGATTGGAGCTGGTTTTGAATCGGGCTGGGACTAGGTTGCTGGTCAAAAACTCGAGGGAGAGTTTGCAGAGATCGGTAAGGAGTTGCCCAAATGAGGGCCAACCAGGTTCTTCCTTGGTTGTTGTTGTTGTCTCAAGGACAGGTCGAGAGAGTTTCTCTTTGCCTGTTTGCTCCTCCTCAAATCTGGTTTCTGACTGTAATAAAAAAACAGAAACCTTTATGGCTAATGAGAAGTGAACAAAGGCGTGTAAGAAAAGAAACTGAAACTTACCGTTTTAGAGGAAAAAGAATGTCCAAAACCTTGTTGGAGCAAACAAGTAGCGTAACCAATGACAACGGCACCAATAACCAAGAGGATGTCTGCACAAGAACGAAAGGAAATGTAAGCACGAGCAATGATCCAAGACTAATCAAAGTGTCCAAAATGATCAATAAGGTAGTTGTTACCAGTAGAAGAGATAGAGCTAGAGTGATACTCGCAGTCCTCTTCAGCAAGAGAGATCTGGCGAAGAGCAGCGTTACCTCTGTCGATGACGAGCAAGGAGCAAGTAGGACGAACATAAACAACATCGAAGTCGTTGGAGAACTTTGCATCCTCGCTTGGCCCATCTCTAAACCCAGCTACATTCGATTTCCCTCCAGCTATTGTAGTAACACCTGTTAAAATAAAACGTTCCACACTCTTAAGATCTCAGTTTGATTCAGAATTACTTTACAGTTTACAAATTAAGGCAACCACCAATCTCCTTTAGATTGGTTCAAACATAAGAAGAGTTGCAAACCTGAATCACCAATCTTACGGATGGCGAGATTCAAAGTATCAGCGACATAAACATTGCCTTTATCATCCATAGTTACACCTCTAGGATGGTTAAAACGTGCTTCGTTTGGCTTTCCATCAGCATGCCCTGTTTTACCTTGAAACGAACCAGCCACCAATCTTCCCCTGCTATCTGCCAACAAGCAACACACAGGTTACAAACAAAGTTTCACATGAAGCATCATACATAACAATCAAGTAATGGAAGATGAATTAACACATACAGTGAGACAAGGGAGGGGTGATTTTGATGATGTTGCTATTAACTTCATCAACAGCATAAAGCTCTCCATCATCAGAGACACGGATCTTGTAAGGAAGGGCACCGATTTCGTTTCCTTCCACAACGGTTTCGACCAAGTAACCATTCTCAAACTGAACTACATTAGGAGTATCTACACGACCGAGCAAACGATACATTAAATTAACAACATCTTTATTCAGCAACAAACAATACCAATTTATAGAGCAATACTCACCTGATTGGGAGGATAATTTAGAGGATGAACCAGTAGTCCACTTGAGAACCGAGGACACGTGCTTAATCAACGAACCTATATCCAATTTACACCAAAATTCAGAAGCTCAACAGCTAATTAAGAGCCCATATCATAAGAAAGTCACAGAATTGGAAAGTGTGAATTGGGGGAGTGAGTGAGCAGATCAAAGCACTCAAACCACTGATGATCAAAAAATATTTAGAAAATCGATTAAAAATTAGGTAAAGTAAGTTTGGTAAATTTACCAGCAGGAGGAGCAGCTTGAGCTTGAAAAGGAAAGCTGTGAAGAAGAGTAAGGAAGACGATTGAAAGAGTATACAAAGACCAAGAAAAGCTTAGAATCTGAGATGATTCGCCCATCTTTTTCCCTGTAGCTTCACAAAGTACAAACTATATTCGAATTTGCGAATCGAACCCTAGAGGAGGGCAATTCACATATTCCAAGACGATACAACTGATGATGAGAGAATGAAAACCCAATTTGCAGATTCACTACACTTCTTTTCACTTTACTGTCTTCCCCTACTTTGCGAGGCAACTCCTCTAGAGCCCCCAAATCTCAATAGCAAAATCTCCTATGGGCTCCATAAATCCCCTATGCCACCAATTCATTAACTGCACTTGAATTGACCATTTTGTCCTTTCTGAGTTGAAAAAAAAATTAATAAATTCGATTTATTATGGATGGGTTGGTATGGATAATGGTTTGTTCGGTTGGTATGTATAATGGTTTTAGTTTTGGTTTTGATTCACGGTTTGGTTTTTGATTCAATTGAAACCAAAAAAAAAATGAAATTAAAAGAATTAAAAACCAAAATAGAGCTCATCCATATCGAGCTTGCTCGTAGCTTTCCACTCCCCGTAGCTCAGCTTTCCACACCTCGATGGAGCTGTCAACATCGGAGTAGTTTACGGCGACCCTGACGGACTTCAGCGTTTCCACCGGCGAGTACTCCTTGGAGATAGGTGGTAATGCAGCTTAGTTCTTTTGTACTCCTCGAACTACATTGGATAGAAATAGAAATAGTAATTGGATTAGATGAATTTGATTTGGTGCAAACACTTAGTGTTCTGGGTCGATTTCA